AACAAGTATTAATTTATGCTGATTATCTTTTGCATTCCTAAAATGGTAACATATATTATTAGTTATTCAGGACACTTAGTGTGCTTAAAAATATTTCCCAGAAGACTAATAACCCTCCAAGCTTAGGTATTATTAAAGACCTTAATCAGAAATAAAGAAAACAAAAGCAAACCAACTTACAATGATGGGAATTTTCTCTTTGGGTTTTGTTAGTTGCTTGGCCAACAAATACTGTTCCATTCCAGGTTTTGCAAATCCAGGAAATCTGATCGTGAAGATAAGTGCTTGTGAGTCTTTTGTCTTTCCTCATAAAGGGCCTCCAATTCTTACCCACATTATCTTAGCACACAACTTTAACCTTGTTCTGTCTTTTAGGTGGAAAATGTGGTAAATGAAACCATTGCAATCAGATTGTCCAATGGCCAGTAAGTTATTTAATTAAGCTGGAGCAGAGGAGGAAGGCATTTGGCTGGAGCCGGTGTGGTATTCAGGAGTACTGTACCTGCTTAACTAGGTCTGAAACACTCTTATCATCAACAGGGCGTGAAGGGAAGACTTGAAGAAAGCCCCCACCCAGGGCCTCCACGACCCAGCATGCCAATGTGAGTTGGCCACATGGGACAACGGCCACTTGCTGGCATTGCCTTTCAGCATACACACTCTGGGTTGCTGGTTACCCCCAAGCCACTGCCACTGTTCACAAGCGGCTTGGTTACTTTCTTTTGGACTTGTTTTCAGAACCAGTCTGAGACAGGTTAGAAAAGAAGTCTCTTTAGGAAACAGACTCAAAGCATAACACATAAATCTGACTACTTCCAGGAATCAAATTTACACCTGAAGGAAATTTCTAGAACTACAGAACAGAGAGAATATATGCACATTCACTCAGAGTGTTGTTTCAAAAAGAAAGTGATTCGTTTGAGTTTTAGAATTTTCTAAAAATCTCAAGGAACAAAATAATACAGGAAAAGGGGAGCTGGAGAGGTGGCTCCACAGTTAAGAGCACTGGTTGTTCCTGCAGAAGAGCTGGGTTCAAATCCCAGCACTCACATAGTGGCTAACAATTGTCTGTAACTCCAGTTCCAGGGGATTTGATGCCCTCTTCTGTTTTCCATGGGTACTGCATGACAAGGTGCACTTATACACATGCAGGCATAACACCCATGCACATAAAATAAAATTAAAAAATAATATAGGAAACGAATCTTATATTTCTTTTTTTTTAAATTTATTTTATGTGTATGTGCGCATTGCCTGCGTGTAGGTAAGTGCACCCGTGTCGTGCAATGCCCGTGGAGGACAGAAGAGGCTGTCGGATCCCCTGGAACTGGAGTTTCCGACAGTTGTTAGCTGCCCTGTGGGTGCTGGGATTCGAACCTGGGTCTTTTGTAAGAACAGCCAGTGTTCTTAACTGCTGAGCCATTTCTCTAGCCTCAGAAATCTTATTTCTACAAAATTCTAGCTAAATTGCTTCTAATCTCATTCACATACCAAACCAAGGCCTGAGGATTTTCATCCATCCTCCACTGGCTTCCCTCCAGTCCCTCACCCTTGATAGTCTTTAAGACGCAGTGCAGATGAGGACAGTAAGGAGCCTGGGAACTGGGAGGCTCCACACGGAAGGGGCAGCTCCAGCATTTTTGTGGCACTGGGAGCCTTGCTCCCTGAATAAAGAAGAGCACCAAGGTGACGGGGCTAGAGGAAAGACTGTGCACTCTGCCGTGGAAGTCACTGGCAGTCGTGTCACCATCTCCTTCGGAGTCCTCCTTGCAGCTCCAGGCAGGGCTCTGTATGTGCTTCCTCAGCATCCCAGTGCACTTCTGCTACACAGCATATCCTGCCTAACTGTCACTGTCCATTTAGATATTACAGTGCCCTAGAGGTGCTGCAGACAAAGTACTTGTACTTAACAAGACAGGAAGGCATTCGAGAACATATCACATACTTAATAAATGAATGGGCTTACTTGGAACCCTTTCATTAAAGAACCTCTATTTTTGTGTCAATCACAGACTGAAATGACTCCCTGACCAGACAGGGGCTGAGTACAGAAAGCACATCACATACTGGTATTCTTATGGCCCACATCAAAATTCTGGCACTCACTATGCACAGCCAGTTAATATGCAGTTAACAGTAATATAATTTCCTAATTATCTGATCATTATCATGATGCATTCTACAATGCTCAAGTACATTTAAATTTCCCATCTCCTTTTCTGGTCCAAGATCTGTGTTCTAGGACTAGAATATGGCTATCACATAAAATGAATCACTGAAAAGCTGTGAATACTTAAAAAACATTTTACTATTTTTATAAATTCAAGTGACTTTTTTTATACATTAGTTTAAACAAAAATACAAGCTGCTCCTTGCACTACAAAGAGAGACCTCAGAGGTTAAAGGTACAATTAGGACAGCTCTAATTTGGTTTCATCTTGGAATGACACTTTAGAGCAGAAAGAATCTTTAATTGAAGCCCATTTCTTTGCTTCAGAGTTGAGGAAACTGGGTTGGCACAAAGCAGATTTGGGAGCAAGTGTGGAGTTGAGGGGAGGAGGGGAGGAGGGAGGCAGGTTCAGAGCCTCCTGTGCTCCTGGGAAACGTTGGCCCTCAGGCTCAAGTCTCTACTGTTCACCGAAGGACCAAGAGACAAAGTACATCTAAAAGGGCTTTAAACATATTTCACACTGAGGTTTAAAGAGCAACTGAAAGTAATGTACATCACTACTAATCACAGAGAACTTCAAAACTGAATCTAAGAAGACAGTTGGTAACAAGTGAGTAATTATTATACAGATAACTGGCCATGAAGAAACAGAGGAAGAAACCGCAGAGGGGTGTAAAGTGGGCAAAGAGCTCATTCAGAGCAGGGAGAAGGCTCGGCAATTATGGGCACTGGCTGCTCTTGCAGAGGACCCAGGTTCAGTTCCCAGCACCCACATGGTGGTTGACAACCATGAGTACGCCAAGGGATCTGCTGCTCTCTTCTGACCTCTGTGGACATTGCAGGCATGGGTACACTTATATACATGGAGACAAAACATTCATATACATAAAATTAAAAAAATAAAATATATTTTTAAAAAGAGCTCCTTTAACCCTACATGTGATTTAAATAGACTATGGAGCCCTTGCAGGCCCCACGACACTAGATCAAATCCTTGACCCTAATATCTAGATAGCTAAATACTATGCTTTCAAATTTTTTTCTAGGTGCAAATTAATATCCTTTGACATCTACTTTGGATTTTAGACAGACTATTGAGAAAAAAGTAGTAGTAGTTTTGGAAAAAACTATTTTAAACCTAACTGCTGAAAGAAGAAAACACAGAGAATCTTGCAAACGTCCTTCACTGTGTCCTTCCAGCTACACTGCAGTAACTAGGACCTCACTGAAGTCCCTGCTGGAGATTCCACAGTGCTGTGGAATATTCATCATGCCACGTGCTTTTGTCAAGTAGTAAGTCTCCAAGCCCCTTTCTTACTATTTTAATTATTTTTATTCTTTATGTGTATTAGTGCATTGCCTACATGCAATAAGTGCACCTGTGTCATGCACCCACAGAGGTCAGAAGAGGGCATCAGACCTACTGGGAACTGCGGTATTGGACAGTTGTTAGCTGTTATGTGGGTGCTGGGAACTGAACCTGGGTCCTCTGCAAAAGCAGTCAGTGCTCTTAACTGCTGAGCCATCTCTCCAGCCCCCAAAATACTTTTTCTTAATCTAGGAGAAATCTGAGTGAAAACAAGCACACCATGTGCTCTGGATGTGTGGGGTCCCAAGGGTATAGAATCCTAACTCGACCATCCACCATCTATGAGAGTGTAGGAATTATACCCACCCAGACTTCAGTTTTGCCTGCAGTAAAATAGCATGTTTATAAATAGTATGTAGTAAAATAGTAAAATTGTATGTTCCACAAAGGAACCCGAGGATGCACACAAGGCACTCTGCAAGATGCCTGGCACAGGGAACTGATTAGTAAAACAGCAAAACATTGACAGAGTTTCTATTAATATGATTTTTAGATCTCCTTAATTAAAAGTATTTCCTAATAACTATTATCTTGTACCAATGACATATTAATGTATCATGGAGTTGATAATGAGAAAACAAAAATATTTTGAAGATTTTTTTTTTTTTTTGGAGGCCCAGGCTGTCCCCAGACTTGCTATGTATCAGAGGATAACCTTAAACTCCTGATCCTCCTGCCTCTACATCGCATGTGCTAGGATTAAGGTGTATGCCATCATGCCTGGCTTGAAGACTTCTAAACTGAATAAACAGTTGACTTATTAGCTCTGTGAAAGTGATAAAATGAATTGAGCTTCTAAGCTAAGGTTCAAATTTAAATGGCTGAACCATACTCCAAACTCAACAGATCACCGAACAGAGAAAAAGCCATACTCTTCTGACACTGTTTGTTATTACATTACGTATAATGTAATAAATGAGGGCACATATTTATGTGTTTCTGCACACAGACCTCAGCCTTCTCCGCTCCCTTTGAAGCTTACTTGTTAAGTGGCAGCTTCATGGAAGAGGCACCTGGACGACTGTTTCCTCGCTGGATGCCTCCTGCTTCAGTCGACTCTGTGTCCTTGCAGTAAGGTGAAGAGGACTTGGGGTCATCCCAGTCTTCATCCCAGTCATCATCATCACCAGTTGCTAGAAGTAGGAAAAGAAGTCAACAGTGGCTCAGCAGTTAAGGGCACTGGCTGCTCTTAAAGAGGACTGGGGTTCATTCCCAGCGCCCACATGGCAGTTAACAGCCCTCCTGACTCCAGTTCCAGACACCCTCTTTTGACTTCCATGGGCAATGCATGACACAGGTGCACTTAACATACATACAGGCACTACACTCATACACATAAAATAAAATAAAAAAATTAAAAATTTTTTGGTCTTTTTTTGAGACAGGGTCTCCCTGTAGCCCCAGCTGGCCTGGAACACACTATGTAGACCAGGCTGGCCTTGAACTCTCAGTGATCCCCCTGCCTCTGCTGGGATTAAAGGTGTGCGCCCTTAGCATTTCCCAGGTGTGATGGCTAATCCTAGGTGTCAACTTGACTAGATCTGGGATTAACTGAAATGAGAGAGATCTTCTTGATTGGATCATCTGAAGCTGGAAGACACACCCTAAATGTGGGTGTCACCTTCTGATGGCAGCCGGTATAAAAGACCAAGGCAGAGGAGAATGCCAGGCTTCTTGCTGCTTGCCTTCTCTCTCGCTGGTGAGTTCATCTTGCTGCTATAGACTGAAGACTAGCTGATCTTTTGGAATTCATCAGACCTTCAGCACCAGATTGGGACTACTGAGACATCCAGCCTCGTGGACTGAGTGACTACGGATTCTCAGCCTCTCCAATGTGGTACAGCCATTGTTGGACTACTCAGACTCTATCCTGTTAGCTAACCTTGTGGGACTGAGCAACTACAGATTCTCAGCCTCTCCAGTGTGGTGCAGCCATTGTTGGACTATTCAGACTATCCTGTGAGCTAAGCTGATAAATCTCTATACATATTTATTCATTCTACCTGTTCTCTTTCTTTGGAGAACCCTGACTAATACACTAGGTAACAGGAACACCTGCTCTTCTAATGAAGTGACTCATGGTGGATTTTAGGTTTGAAGTTCACCACCAAAAAAACCAAGCCACAGATAACTGGAACCTTAGATTCTTTTTCCCCATCCAGTCCTCTGCAAAGAGGAGAAAGGCTGGAGATGAAGTTACTAAGCAACCATGCCTATGGGGTGAAGCCTCCACAAAGCTCCCTGAGCTACAGGGTTCTGAGAGTATCCTCACTGGTGAACCTGTGCAGGTGCTGAAGTGGTGGTCTAGGGAGGGCCTGGAGTTTCTACCCCTTCGGAGAGGCTTCCCTAGGTACCTCCTTATCTGCCTGTTCATTTATATCCCTTTATAAGTCAGGTGTTTCCATGAGTTCTGTCATGTGCTCTAGCAAGTTAATGGAACCTGGGAAAAGCCTAGTCAGGTCCTCCTGACTCCAGGTAGAAGACGGTGTTAATGCTGAGTGAAACTGCAGGACCCCATCCAGGGTCACTGAGGTGTTCTGTATTGTGCTGTGAGAGCAGCAAGATCAGCCTAGTTTTCCTGCCTTTCAACCAATCTCCTATCAGCTACCAAGGCAGAAGCCTCTCCTTACCTGGTCCTTGGTAGGCTTGGGGGTGGCCGAAGGCAGTATCCCAGTTGTTGGCACTGTTTCTCTGAGTGCCAGCCCCCTCTGGTCTCATGCCCCAGCCATCTGAATTGTCCCAGTTCCCAGATTTGGGGGCATTCCAGGCTGACCAGGGGTCATTGCTGCCACTGACCTGTGTGGGAGCAGAAAAGAATCTTAAGTCCATTCAGCAACAGCCTGACCTGACAACTGAGAAGAGAAGCCTGGAAATATCAATGGAAACTGATTTAAATCTCCACCCTTGCCCCAGGAAAACACAGGAAAGCTCAGTAAGCATCATCAGCTCCTACAGATGTGAGCATTTGGCTGTGTATGCTACACTGCAATTATACCTTGTATGACTGAGGACCTTTCCATTCACCTTAACTGCTTATAGCAACGTTGTGTTTCTAAGCGGGTTTTAAATTTTATTTTAAAAAGCAATACAGAGTAAAAATTTTAAATGAATAAAAGGATACACAGTTGAACAACATGCCTATCGCATTAGGATGTCTAGCTGGATGTCACTTTTTTTGTACTATAACCAGCTGAGCCTTATGTAGAACTCTCTACTTAACCCCAATCCAACTAAACTGAACACTGTTTAACAGCCAGGAGCAATATGTATTCAACATATCTGCCAATCTAAAACTTTAAAAGCTATCCTAGCCTCTTAAGACAGATGGAGAAAGAGATGTGCATGGGTTTTAGAACAGCACATTTACTTACAGCCATCCACTGAAAGAACTTAGAGCATTAGCTAAGTTTCCTAGGAAACTAGACTTGTACTTGACTATAGAGCCAGAAAGACCAGAAAGTGGACTGAGACTGGCCACAACGGGAGGAATGGAGGCATGCACACTGTATTCTCATAGTGCTGATAACCACAGAAGAGCTGTATTCATGACAGATGCAGCCATATGCTATTTAGTAAGGTATTTCTTGGGAAAGGCATCTTTGGGCAACTTTGTTGTCATATAAGCAGTGTACACTTACACAAACCTAGGTGGTCTAGGCTACTATAAACCAAGGCCATTGAAATATGTGTGATACTGCCCCCCCCCCACTCCTGGGACCATGATGAATCAAACAACACGATTAAAATCAAGTATAAGAGAAAATGATTCATTTAAGAGATGAAGCAACATGTTACATATGAAGTGGCTGTTGGTGTGAGATGGAAGGAAGTTTTCCCCCAGTAAGTAGAAGCACACTCCAAAGTAATGGGCTATGAAGTGCAGTGAATGTGTACAGCAGTGACAGGTTTATCACTAAGACGTGCTCTGCATAACTGAATGTGCTGCACTTTCACACGATGGGCAGCATTGTGTTTACACAGCATCACCACAGACACACCAGAAATGCACTTAGCGATGTCAGGCCAATGTTGACACCACTAATAACGATTTTCACCACCATTACTATCTTATGGGGCCACTATCACATATATAGCCTCTCACTGACCCAAACATCGCTAAGTCTGATTTTGAACCCCAGCTTTACTACTTAGTAGCTGTTTGTCTACAAGCAGTTTGTCCTTCTTAGCTCCCACACCTTAGAAGTGGGGACCCTACCACTATCTTCCTCATGAGTCTGGTTAAGTCTGAAATGGTACAAGGCATACAAAGCATACACAATGCTGACACAGAGCATGCAGTCAGTAGAGGCTGTCTTACTATGTAGGGGTTCATCTGAAGTATAAATAGAGCTCAGCACATGAGGATGAGGCAGAAAGATCAAAGGTCTGAGGCTAGCCTGTGCTACACAGCAAGTTCTAGGGCAGAATGGACTACATAGTAAGACTGTCTCAAAATAAATAAAATAAATTATAAAGAAGATTTAAAACCAGTGTTCTTGGAGTAAGCCCTCACCTGAGCGGTACACCTCTTTATCTTATTTTCTTGAGGAGGAAGGGTCAGCCCACTGTGGGTGGTGGCACCCCTCCACCCCCACCTCACCCCCGGCAGGTGGACCTGGGCTGAGCAAACCAGTAAGCAGCATCTTCCATGGTCTCTGCTTCAGTTCCTGCCTTCAGGCTCCTGCCCTGACTTCCCTCAATGAAGGACTATGACCTGCAGGATGAAACTTCCTCCCCAAGTTGCTTTGGGTTGGTATTTATCACAGCAACAGAAAGCAGACTAGAACATGGACATTTAGGATGTTTTCCATCAGCTTCCTTCACATACATAAGAAGAGGAGGAGGAGGAAGTGAAACAGGGCTGTTGCACCACAGAGCTCAGCAGCAGCATCCAATTCTAGGGACTTTTGGCAGAAACTTTCTGGGTGATAAACACTAAAGGTTTGGTGTTCTCAGAATCTCTCAGTGTAATAAGCTGGGCTACAATGATCTCCTTTAAGCATCCTTCGGCCACTGGTTTCTTTGTTCTCAATCCAAAACCCTTTTTGTCTGACAACTGCAGACTCGGTCACACAATGACCCCTCTGTTTCGGAGCTCAGGGGTCTAGCCTTTACTTCCCCTTTCTCTCCTCAGTCATTTCCCTGAGCGACATCTTCAGCTTTTCCATCTCTGCTCCCTCCTGGTACCAGGCTGTTTGATTCACTGTTGTTCACAGACTCAAACCTTCAGTAGATCTCAATGGATGTTCACGGGACAAATGCAGCCATCATTCTACTGAAAGCTTCAAGTTATGTATCTGGAAAGATTACTTGTCAGAGTTGGTCGTTAAACATTTATTTCTTGTTGTAGTCATTCAAGTCTCAAATTTACCTTATTTACAGAAGAAGGAGGAGAAGGAGAAGAAGGAGATGGAGACTGGCTGAGACTTTCAACACAACCAATCTGAGCCAAAATATCCACCTTAAAATAAAAAGCACTCAGTGAGTGAGTGAAAGGTTTACCAAAGCATTTAACTAAACCCAGCAAACCCACAGCAGGGTCAAAGTCCCCACTCACTCACAAGCAGTCCATGCAGAAGCCCAGCTGTGTGGCAGGCTTACTGGCAATGCACTGCATCTTCCCAAGTCTGCTGCTTGCTATCACAGCACAGTAGCATGGAAGCACTGAAAATAACTGCAAGCTGCACAGAGGAGTGGGGCAAATACCATGCAGGCCACATAACTAGTGAGACATCTCAAAGCTGACACAAGCCACAAGAGTCCTACCTAGCCCAGCTGTGCAGAATAGCCCATCCACTGGGAACTGAGGGGCAAATGTAAAGGTCTTCTGGTGTGTGCTCTTGGTGAGATGTGGCAACTGACTTGTTCCCATGACAGCTTTGGAGCCCGAGTCCCAGACTCCATGACTGCACGGCAGGGAGGTCAGTACTATTCAACTATTCATTTACGTGGTTGTCAGGCACAACTTTCTTCTGAAATGGTGGCATTACTGTTATTTCATAGATGTAAATAAAAGTGAAGCCAGAAGTTAAGACACAGAAAAGATCAAGATGGAATAACATGAAATCAGACATGTTCTCACTTGTTAAAAATGACAAGACATATGACATTGTTTTCAGATGAACACTGGGCAATGAACAGCAGTGATCCTGAGACCGCAAACAAGTAAGATGAGCCTACAGCTGCTCCTATTCACTGCCCAGAGAGACTTTCCAGACCAGCAATGGCCCAGCAGTTGCCCAGTAATGGGGAGCACCAGACAGAGCCCAGTGGTTGCTACTTGTCGAGCTAGAGCCTGGAGGCGGTGAGCCAAGAGTGTGAGAGATAGGAAGAGCTGTATCCAGAGGGCTCTGGAGATCTGCAGAGCTGCCTGGGTCTAAGGCCAACACCTAAATAAATCTATCATGTGAGGACATTCCCCAAGTCAGGCAAAAAATTGCACAGAAACTGAGAGAACAATCATCACGACAGAAGTTCGTGGTGCACAGGTACTAACAGGGCTTTACTTCAATAGAGGCAAAAATATCCCCAAGCGAAAGGCCCCTTTGCTCTTAAAAAATTCTTTATGCTTAAAATTTACAGGGTGTGGTGGCACATGCCGCGATTAAGGCCAGCTTGGTTTACCTACTGAGTTCCAGGCCAGCTGCAGCTACAGGGAGATCCTGTCTCAAACCAAAAACTGAAAACCAAAGAAACAAAACAAAACAAAACAAAAACCCAAACATGAAAAACTACTTTAACAAAATAGCTTAAGTATATCATATGATAAAGCTCAAAATATTAATGAGAATGCAAAAATAGCCAGAACATTAACAAGGCAAAACTACAAAGTCTGGCATTCAATAAAAAATTACCAGGACTGAAAAAAGCAGGAAAACACGACCCATATATTTGTAAAACAACTTACTTTGGAAAAATAGCAATTAAAGAAAAAGAATTCTACATTTATCCTGAATGCCAATAAAACACGGGAATTTAAGGTAGCTATCAGGCTCTAGCTGATGGAGGAAAGTGCTATCACATAGAAGAAAGCCAGGTTACATGTGCAAAGGGAAACATTACTGATTCAGGCAAGGATTAGCAGCTGGCGGCATGCCATCTGGAGAACGCCTAGTAGTGTCAAACTCATACCAGGCAGATTGCTTTCTGTACAGAAGAAAACATAGTGCAATGGAGGCAGAAGACTCAGCAAACTAACGTAGGCATCATTTGGCCAGTAACAGTGGACTGAGGAAATAGTATATTCTGATGTGCTGTCACTGTCACATGAAATATATCATATCATCTGTGATAGTCTAGCCTAGAATGTCTGATTTGAGCTGATTAAACTTTAGTTTCCATGTTTACACAGAAATAATAAAATACAATATACTCACAGTTGTGATGGTATGCATATATAATATCTCTAATCGCCCACTGCTGGCTTACAAAATAATAGGTTTTGGTTTTATAATATTTGCTATTTTGTTGGATATTTGTTTCTTATATGGCATCTCTGGGGAACCCAGACCAGTAAGAAGCAAATTCCTCTATTGACAACCAAATACACAGGCACAAGCAGGGCAGGCACCTGTTGGGAAAAGAGTGTGAGACCTGACCCAATCCTGTGGGTTCTAGGCAAGCAGACAGGTCACAGTATGGGAGGGCTGTCTCTACCGCACAGGCATGAGCAACAACACTGAGAGAGAGACTGAGAAAGATGGGCCACGACCACCATGACTTTTCATATCCACCTGAACTAGGGAACTAGGTCAGAACTCGTAAGTAGTCTAGGTCTGAGAATTAGTGAGAATTCCATTAAGATTGTTTGCTTTCTGTTTGGCTTTTTACCAAACTAACAAACAAGAGTACAGGAGAAATACGAAGCTTCAGATGAGCTCCCATGGCCTGCTATCTCCTTAAAGAATACACTCAAAATTCAACATAGTCAATAGAGATTGCTTCGTTAAGTCCACCAGGAAGAAACACCTGTAATCATGTGCTAACTACAGTTTATGTAACTATGTGGGAAGAGAGGTTCTATGTGCATTCCAGGGTGCCCACCTCATGCCCACGGAAGATCCTCCCAGGGCCTCAGCCACATATTTGTATACTATCTGTCCTGCGGTCACTGGCCTGGCCCCTCAGGGCTGCCATACAACTGCATACACAGGGTCCTGCTTGAAAGGAAAGAAGCAAAGGAGGTAGAACTCAGAATCTAGTAACTAGAAACTTCCAGAACAAGACTTTCCCCTTGGGTGCACAATAAAAATGGATTGGGAAAACTCCCATTCATAAACAAGAAAGCTATTTGGAGAAGGTGGGAAAATTTTATTTCTTCAACTCATCCACACAACTAAGAAAACAGTATCAGACACTTCTCATTCATTACACATTTAGTAACGTGTACCCATTGGGTTTGAAAGTGGAACTAGGAAGCAAATAATGCATGATTCCTATACCCAAGAACGTTCTGTTCAGGACAATTGATGGAGATTTAACTGTTTTCCTTAAAGGTGCCTAGAGAAGGTACAAAATCCTCTTATGTAAAAACCCAAACCATCTCAACCCAAAACACAGAAGAACCTTTACGTTTTCCCATTTTGTTATTTGCAAAGCCTTAGCTCAATTCTACAAATGAGCCTCTGGTGACTTTGGAAAACCACTAATAGAAATATAAAATATGCACAGTATTTTGAAAATGAAGACAGACCTCAAGAACATCCTAAATCCATATACAGCCAGTTGTAGCAAAATTATAGACTAGAAATTGCCAAAATAATCTAAAACTTAAAAGAGAGTCTCTGTTAATTCATATGCTCATCTTACAGATGTCAAATGCAGCTGCTTACTTTTAAATAAGGAGAACTGCCAGATGTGGTGGCACATGCTTTAATCCTAGCACTTGGGAGGCAGAGGCAGGCCAATCTCTATGAGTTCAAGGCCAGCCTAGTCTACATAGCCAGTTCCAGGCCAGCTGGGGCTAGAGAGAGACCCTGTCTCAAAAAAGACAAATGAATAAATGAATAAATAAATAAATAAGGAGAATTATTTAAGTAAATAATTGGATAAGTGGATAGGTAAAATAAATGGATAATATTTGAACTGGCATAGAGAGTTCACTTAGCCCAAAGTCTTAACACCTGCAACTTCATGCAGAGTAGGCTGGTGCTACAACTAGCAAAAGACATTTTGCTTCCTACAGACCTGTGTCTTCTAAAGACCATGTGAAGCGGGCCTTTGTGGACACTGCTGATGAGAGGCTGTGTCTAAAACAATGCTGACTGGCCTTTTATCACAGCAATTTTAGCTTAAAAAGAGAAACCTTTTACTTCTGTCATTTGTTTCCACTTAGACAAAACAAGCAACAACTAAAACCACCACATATAACAGGTTCCACCAGCATGTGAACCATCTTGAAAGGTCCCCAGATTAGCAAAGCTGTCATTCTATGAGCCAGCATCTGCTGTGAGGCTGGTCCTGACAGACTCATGTCAATTTGAAGGCAAATGGCCACAAAGCCTCTTAACAGTGGTGCAGTCCTTAAAACGTCCTGCAAGTAAGGAAAGATCCACATGGGGTTGGGAGTCAGGCAGAGACAAGAGAGGAACCCTTCCACAAATGGCTTGTGAAGGGCCTCCCTGAAGACAGTCATGCCATTGCAGGGCTCAGATGAGGGAGGAAAAGAAGCCAATCTAATGCCTCTGTGAAGTTTCTTTTACTGATCTATTTTTAAATGAACTAAAATTTTCCTTAAAACTGGGCTGAAATATGAGACAGCAAAATGTAGTTCCAACAAAATTACTACTGTTTTTCTTATCCCTTAGTTAATAGAAAATAACATGGACATTTTCTGCATAATAGAAAGACATTATGCCCTTAAATGCCCACTTAACTTTGCACATTTGTTTAATATCTAAACTGATTATAAATTTAAAAAATCATTAATCAGAGCTGGAGAGATGGCTCAGCAGTTAAAAACACTGACTGTTCTTGTAAAAGCCTTGGTTTGAATCCTAGCACTCACACGGCAGCTAACAACTGTCCGTAACTCCAGTCCCAGGGGATCTGACAGCCTCTTCAGTCCTTCCGCAGGCTTTGCATGACATGGGTGCACTTACCTACATGCAGGCAATACACTCATACACATAAAATTAAAATAAATAAATAAAATATATATATATTTTTAAAGTCATTAATCATCCTGGAGGATTTTCAGTAAGAAAATGTAACTTTCTGTGGGTGGCTCGTCAAGAGTAGAATGAAGGGCTGGCAGCAGCGCCCAGTCCTGGGAAGAAAGCAACGGAGGAGCCTCGGTACGACCTCCTAACACCCACTCGCCTGTTCCCACACAGTAAGTCCAGAATCAGACAAAACCTAAGCAAGCTGAAATGAGGAATTTTAGGATAAACAAAAGGAAACGATATCTTTACATGTTGTTACAAACTTATACACTACTCTGAAATGCAGTTATTGATTAAAAATATAAAGTCAAGACAGGTTCAGATAATTTAAGGAACAGCAGACCCAAGTAAGTTAATGAAAGAGAACGTCGTTTAAAAGATAGGATGTAGACTGGTGGGGTGGCACACACCTTTAGTCCCAGCACTTGAAAGGCAGAGGTAGGGGGAATCTCTGTGAGGCCAGCCTGGTCTACAGAACAAATTCCAGGCCAGCTGGGGCTACAGAGAAACCTGTCTCAAAAAAAAACAAAAAAATAAATAAAAGATAGGCTTTAAGTGAGCCAGGAGTGGTGGCTCCTACTTGGAAGCCCAGGTCTTGGGAAGCTGCAGCAGGAGGATTACAAGTGAGTTCAGCCTGGAGTTACATACTTCATAACAGAACAAGATTTGAACCTGATTTTAAATTTGTGTCAATGGCTAATGTGCTTCCGACTTGTCATGGGAAAAAGGAAGAAGTCCCAGAATTAGAATAAGATGCCTAGAGCCAGCGAGATGACTCAGTGGGGAAATGCACTTGCCACCAAACCTGACCACCTGGGTTGAATCCCCAGGACCCACATGATGAAGGAACTGACTCCCACAACTTGTTCTCTGACCTCCACACTCACTGTGGCATGCAGCACACTTCAGATGCCAAACAAATAAATGTAATAAAAATATTAAAAGATGCTTATTTCTACCTCTTGCTTCCTTCATTCAGTCTGTGATCATTTCATTCTATTTCTTTTATTAAAATGCTGTCCTGTACTCAATGCAAAGCATTTCACAGGTGGTGTTGTATAACTGAGTGAATCTTAACTGGACTACTTTTGCTCCCAGGGGATACTAAATGCATACAACTTATAAAATTAATGTACAGTATCAGTACTTCAATAAACTCTCTGGAAGGTTAAGATATATTTCTGTAAGCAAGTAATTATAAATGATATGATTATTAGGTTCAAAATAATTTAAACGCTTTTTATATAGTTAAAAATATCAAGAAATAACATCTAAAGTCCATTCATTTGTAAAGATGTATATAGTAACATTTTGATACCAAAGTTTTCAATTTTCTACTTCTTGTTCACTCTAAATAAACATTCAGCAATAAATGAAGTAGGCAGACTCACTCAAACTGGTTAAATTTTAATTAAAACTAATGTAAAGTTTCACTGCATGTTTTCCTCAAATAGCCCTACTATTCTAAGTTTTCTAGAAGCAACACAGTAATAAATAGCACAAATGTCAGGTGCTGCCTCTGTTTACAACTTTTACCTGTATTGCTTCTATAGCACAGAGGGGACACCAGCTCTGACAGCAGCATCAAGGTCCTGATCTAGTCAAAGGAGGCAATGCCCTCCTCAACCTCAAGTCCCTTCTCTTCTTCCCAAGCCCTCATTTTGAAGAGTTTTTCGCCTGGGGGGGGGGGTCCCTGTATTCCTATCATGATAGACTTCCAAAAGCAACTCTCAACATGCCATCTCACTATTAGTTCTGCAGTTTTTAGTAGGTTTACCAGGTGAGGTCTGTTAACAGTCAACAGAAAACTCACATCCAACCTCACCCCAGCTACTCTGATGAGGCTTCAAGGAAACAGCAACAAGCAAAAGCCATGCTTTCCTTTGTGAGGAAAGCCAGCAGCATCCCATGGGAGTCAGTGAGACATACCTGGCTGTTGCTGTTGGCAGAGGACGAGGTGGCTTGAGCTGTGCTCGCTGAGAGGGAATCAAGGAAAGCCTGGTCAGCCACTGAGTTTCCACAAGCAAACTGATCTTTTCCATCACTGGGTAAAATCTGAATATTAGAAAGAACCACAATGACTTTCATGGAACAGTCATTTCATAGTGAGCACTTCTGCAGAGGTTGACAAGAGTCATCTATTACTGGAAGGAGATTTATACTCTTTACTGCTCTGTTTTCTTTTAACTACTGCTTTTACTGCATTCTTATTTTTGATAAGCTGTATTTTCTTCCCTTTTAAAAAATATTTTACTATTTTATGTGTATGAGTGTATTGCCTGCATGTGTGTAAGTTGTACCCGTGTCACGCAAAGTTTGCGGAGGTCAGAAGAGGGCGTTGGATCCCTTGGAACTGGACTTAAGGACAGTTGTAAGCTGCCTTGTAGGTGCTGGGAACTGAACCCAGGTCCTCTGCAAGAATAGTCACAAGGCAAACACCATAGCACTGAGCTACATCCCTGGCCCTCTTTTTTTATTTACTATTATTTTTTATTATTATTGTTTGAGATGATGATGATGATTATTGTTTGAGACAGGGTCTCCCTGTAGCCCCAGCTGGCCTGGAACTAGCTATGTAGACCAGGCTGGCCTTGATCTCACAGAGATCTGCTTGCTTCTCCCTCCCAAATGCTGGGATTAAAGGCATGAGCCACCATACCCAGCATCTGGCTGCCTTCTTTGAAACATGCTGAGGTATGGTTTATTGTTTAGAGCATGGTCCATCTTAGTCTACAAGCATCTATCATATCCCCCTGACTGATGGTCCTGTATAATTCAACTGTGTTCTGACTGATTTTCAGTATGTTGTATTTGTCCATTTCTGACACAAGGAATTCAGGGTCTTAAAAGATAAGCAAAATCTAAGAGTAGCTGAAATTATTCCTTTCTAGAAGCAAGCAGAATTCTAGAAAATAAAAGAATGCCAGTATCAACCTAAATCCTCAGATTTTTATCAATCTTGTTCACTTTAAGATCCCAGATGCTTAGTGCATAGAGCTAAACTGGGATTTGAACCTCAGACTTGCAGACTATGCGTAGGGACTAATGAACTATTGGTACTGTATGGACAAAGCTATGGTTTGTGTGCAAAGTATGTGTTGTGTATACACACTTCTAGAGGGGGAAAAAAATCTACTGATTTCCTAGAGACTTTAAGACTCCCCACACCTTACTCTTAGAAAGACAGGCATCTCCCCATCTCACTTCTACTGGAGGTGAGCCAGAGACTGAATTCTTGACCTATCTCCAGTTTTACTCACAGGAGTATCAGGCAACCTCAGTTTTTGTCACTCAGGATGGGAGGCAAACACAACAAGGAAGGAGCACTCAGTTTTAGAGTTTCAGGCAACCAGCAGGGGGTGCCAGCTGGCTGACTAGGAAGATGGCTTTGCTGTTGAGTGCAGGACTGGAGGATGCTATCCTTGGTACCTACGGCAGCAGAGCTTACAGCAGACAATGCTCACTGCAACCTACCTAGTCCCGTGTCTCTATGGGAATGGTGGAAGGAAGTGAAAGTCATATCCTTCTAAAGAATTCATTTAAACTCTGTGAATTAACTCTACAACAGAGTTCCAGGCAACAGTATTACACATCAGTTAAAGAAAAATGAGTTTTATTCAGATAATTAAAATCTGCTACCCTTGGAAGGAACTTAATCTAAATATCTTTGTAATTTGGGTCTACAGGTAATCTCTTTTTTTATTTCTACTTCAATATATTTTTCATGTTTTATATAATTAGCAGTTATTTTTAAAACATTTTTTTGACTGACTTTTATTTTATGTGTAAGAGTGTATTGCCCTCATGTATATAAGTGCACCCAGGTTGTGCAATGCCTGCAAAGGACAGAAGAGGGCTTCAGATCCCCTGGAACTGGAGTTACAGATGGCTGTTAGCCACTGTGTGGGTTGTTAGGATTTGAACCCAGGTCTTCTGCAAAAACAGCCAGTGCTTTTAACTGCTGAGCCACACCTCAAGCCTAGCAATTATTATTTTTAAAATAGAAATTTTACTTTAAAAACTGATGCTCTCTTCCCCACAGCCTTTTAATTTGATAACTGATTAAAAAGGCAGCTGACAAAGATCAGCCTGAACCAACGGCAATTAGTTCTTACCTCCACGTAGTCCGTAGGAACGAGGCCCCGCTCTCCTTTGCTGTTCCTCCCTTCCAGCCATCCTCCACCAATGTCCTAACAGGAAAAGACAGACCAAAGTTCTAGTTGGGATTTCCTGTAGAAACTTTGCATGGAGAACTGCTGTAAACTGACTTATAAAATTTTACATTAAAAGTAACATGAAGCTTTTTATGACTATAGAACTAACACTATTCATAATTTTACATTCTTTTTTAAAAAATTATTTATTTTTTATGTGTATGAGTATATTGCTTGCATCTAAGTGCACTTGTGTTGTGCAATGCCTGTGGAGGTCAGAAGAGGGCATCAGACTCCCGGGAACTGGAGTTACAGACAGTTGTTAGTCACCATATGGGTGCTGGGATTCAAACCCAGGTCTTCTGCAAGAACAGTCAGTGCTTTTAATCGCTGAGCCATCTCTGTAGCCCAAAATTTTATATTCTTAAATCTAGTTTACTCAGGAAATGATATAATCTAATAAGACAAACTGAGCTCCAATGAGTGATTAAATTCTGAAAATCAGTCTAGTCATCTTTGCATGGTTCCTTTCTCTTTACTGGTTTGTTGTAGACAGTGAATGTGGTCTACAGCACTGTCAAGCGGTGAAACCACTTCTTACCCGAGTCTGTGCTGCCTACTGTGCCCTCTCTAATACGAGCTGGAAATCATCCAGGGACACTCAGACAGAGCCTGTCCCTAGGGGGCTCAGTATACTTTTGTTTGCCCTTCAGAATCCCAAGCCCCTATATGAATTCATCTGAATTGCAAGATGATGACATTTTTCCCGTCACCCAGTCCAACTGCAGAATTGCATGAGTGGGTAAGGCCAACTGGGACCATTCTGGCCCAGCCAGGCTCAAATGTCTGCAGACATAAGTATGGCCCAAATCAACAGAGACATTTGGCTGACCCATAGACTCCTGAGCAGTAACACATGGTGATTAAACCACTGAGTTCTATTCTTTCTGTTTCCTGATGCTGGGGATTCAACTCGGGTTTTACTCATGCTAGGTAAGTGGTCTACCAAGTGTACTACACGCCCAGCCTTAAACAACTAAGTTTTGGATTATTGGTCAAGCAGGAAGACATAGCTGGTCAATGGTTCTTTATCTCTTCTGAATACAGAACATTAATACTCTAATAAAGTAGAACTCTATACAAAGACACTCATTTTTCAATCTACTATCTCAGGAAAGGTCCATGTTTCTCTGAAATCATAAACAGTTTTCTTAACATGATTAGTTAATAATTATCTGACTCTAGATAACCATACTTTTTAATATACACATGTGATATTTCAATACAGATATAAGATGGTATTATGTTCAAATCAGGGTAAGCATATCTATACCCTTAAACAATATTTCTTAGAACACTTATAATCCTCCTCCATTCTTTTTCTTCTTGAGAGAAGGTCTCATATAGCCCAGCCTGGCCTTAAATTCACTGTGTACCCCAGCCTGGCTTTGAACTGCTGATTCTCCTGCCTCTACCTCTATTTCTGAAATATAGTTATTGGACCACATTCTTTAAAAAAAAATAAAATATTTTTAATGCCAAAGTTTACTATTTTTATTTTATGTGTATGAGTGTACTGCCTACATGTAAGTGCACCTATGTCGTGTAATGCAGAAATCAAAAGGCGGCTTTGGGTTCCCCTGGTACTAGAGTTACAGACACTTGTTCACTTGTAATATGCTACTACAGAGAAGAAAAAGCACAGTTTCTTTGTTGTTGTTGTTGTTGTTGTTGTCTATTTGTTTGTTTTTGGTCTTTTTGAGACAAGTCTCCCTGTAGCCCTAGCTGACCTGGAACTTGCTATGTAGATCAGGCTGGCCTCAAATTTACACAGACCTGCCTGTCTCTGCCTCCCAAGTGCTAGGATTAAAGGTATGCACTATCACGCCCAGCTTTTAAAAAGCAGTTTTTAAAAACAAACAGATGCACCTTTCGTTCAGTCGCTTAGAAGCAGAACAAGTTGCTGAGTCGCCTTACCCTAGCTCACAGACTTCATGGGAAGAGCACATTAAATACATACAAGACACTCAGCCAAACCCCTGGCTCGAGCTGACAATAAATTGGTGACCAGGCTGCTAAAAAGAAAACATAAAACAAAAACAAAACCTGACTACTTTCAAATCTATGCTCTGTCCGTTACCTGAGAGGCCTTGGCATTTCTATCTGATAGAAGCCACAACTGTCTAGTCAGATTCCAACTTCTGCATGCTAGCCTGTTTTGATCAAAACACAAGAAAACAGGGCACTTCTCTGCAGAGTGCCAAAAGCAACATCAAGCACTCTGTTTTTGGAGATCACCTCAAACTTCTCCTTTGTCTCATAAGCTCCTTATGAAGAAGGGGCAATCTGGCAAGTCTTCATGTTTACTCCTTGGGCACCTAGACTAGGGCCTCATGCGCACTGCGGGTGCTCACAAAGACTATCGAATGAAAATATTTGGATAAACTTCGAACCTACAATGCTGTACTTATGGAATAAAAGGGAATTGAGTGTGTGTTTTTTTCTTTTTTCTTTCTTTTCTTTTTGTCTGTGTGTGTTCATGTGGAGGCTAGAGGTCACCCTTGGGTATTTTTCCTCAAGCATTGTACATCTTTTAACAGTTTTTAAAAAATTACATTTATGCTCCTAGCCTGCTCTCCTATCCTCAGGCCTCTTGGGGTAAATCTATCACGCAGCCCTCGGCGCCTTGACTCCCCCAGCCGCGGTCACCCTTCCATCTCCCCCGCTGTTCTCTACTCCTAGTTTGGGCCCTGCGCCATTCCTAGTCTCGGCTCCCCAGACACCTGGGGAACCAACACTGCTTCCTGATCTTTTTCACCCAGACCAACTTAGTGCCTTCCTTGGGCCCCAGGAGCACCGCTTCTGGACCTGGCCCCGCCCTCACCTCCCTCTACTTCCCTGGTCCTGCAACACCCACCAGCTTCTTTCTGGGGCTGACAGCCTCTTTCTGGGGCTCTGAGGCTTACCTTTCCTCTCCCTGATCCTTTGC